TTTCAAATCTGGCTGCTGTCTTGGAGCCATCTCTAAAAAGCCCAACTTGTTTCAAGCAATCATCCCAACCATTTCTGAGGTTTCCAGTACATTGTGGTTCAGCCACCCTTGCCAACCATTTTATGGCGGTCTCTGGGAGTATTGCTCAAGGATGGTGCTGTCTAGCTGATGGTTCATGTGTCCACATTATAGCAAATTATTTGTTTTCTTTTTTTAGAAAAATGGCTATGTGCATTGCTAAGTCTAAGCATGCTCTAAAGCTCACTAAAATGGTTTTGGACTGCAAAAAGAGCTGCTCCCCGAAGTTTTTTTGCTGGATCACAGAAAGAGTGAAGGAAAGGGCTGAGGTCTCCCAAATGGAGGAGAAGAGCAGATCTGCACTTTTCAAAGGAGCTGTTGGAGGAAGCAGCAATCCAAAAGAGCCTTTGGAGCAGTGTAAGACGTAGTCCAGTGTCAGAGCCCTGCCTAGAGAAGGGCACTGGGGAAAGCTCAGAAACTGCTGCCAGGCAGATAGCAGCAGGAGAAAGCAGGGCAGAAAACTGGAACAACTGAGATTTGGTGTCCTGGAAGTCAGTGTGGAGCTCAAAGATGTTAGGAAGGCACCTAAGTTTTACCACCAGTCTGCTTAGTTAGCCAGAGCAGAGCAAACCTTTTATCCTCCACTGTATCTCCATCAATTTGATGGTCTCCTGTCATCTTGTGCCAGCAGGAGCATATCTGGTAGATGATGTTTGATGCGATAAGACAAAAGGCATTCTGACCCCTCTCTGCTCCTCGTTTCTGTTGCCTAGGTTTGAGTTCTGGGAGGATTTTGAAGAGGATCACGGGAAAGGCAGAGAGAACGGCTACCAGAGCCTTCACAAAGTCCTGGAGCCATTTCTCCTACGCAGAGTGAAGAAGGATGTGGAGAAATCTTTGCCAGCCAAAGTGGAGCAGATCCTTCGTGTGGAGATGTCTGCTTTGCAGAAGCAGTATTACAAGTGAGTCAGTCATTAAGTTACTGGGAGTGCCAATAGAAATGAGCACATCTTTCTGTGTGCCTTGGGAATATGTTTCAGTATACTTTGTCCTTCAAAATGCACTGTGACAGCCATCACCTGTAGCGGCTGGGACTTCATGGTAGGAATCTGAGGTAGGATCTTGTGGTATCTTCTCTTCTGTAGTAGTCTGGAGATGCTTTTTTTAGTGTGGTACAACTCAGCTGGCCAGTTTTGCAGGATGTGGGCAATGTTTTGGGTTTTTTTGAGTTGAGTGAGTAAATCACCCCACAAAATTGTGGTGCTGTTTATTATTAAACTGTAATAACATCAATAGTAAAGTAAGCTCAGGGTTTCTAGTGAGGAAACAGCAGTATCGTGTAGAAGTGAAGAGGGATGGAGGGAGGGGAGTAGACTGCTGCCTAAACAAGGTGTCCCTGAAGGTTTTGTTCCTCCCAGGCTCCAGCACACCCAGTCTGCACTGTGAAACAACCTGGACTTTTGTTTTCCTGCCTGCAGGTGGATTTTGACAAGAAACTACAAAGCTCTGTCAAAGGGAACGAGGGGGAGCACATCTGGTTTCCTTAACATTGTGATGGAGTTGAAAAAGTGCTGCAACCACTGCTACCTTATCAAACCTCCCGAGGAAAATGAGAGAGAGAATGGCCTTGAGACACTGCAGGTGAGCAATGTCTTTGGTTATCATTTTTTTTCCTTTCTTTTGTCCTCCCACCAAGATAAGATCTGGTGAAGTGATTGCTTCTGCTGCCTCTCCATTAGAAATAGTCCTTACAGCTGAGCCGCTGAGTCTCCTGCCCTCCCTTTCCACTGTGGGCAAAGTTTTGTGACTTTGAGACAGATCTCTGCGTGTGTCTGTGTGGTGTACCTAAGGGTAAGGTTGGAAAGCATCAGCTGCAATGACTGTTATCTCTTCAGTCTCTGGTCAGGAGCAGTGGGAAGCTCATTCTGTTGGACAAGCTGCTGACTCGGCTGCGGGACAGAGGCAACAGGGTGCTGATCTTCTCCCAGATGGTGAGGATGCTGGACATCTTGGCAGAGTACCTGACCATCAAACACTATCCTTTTCAGGTGAGAAGCGTGGACACAGAAAACGGGAGGGTTCACTTGAAAACTCAAGGAAACACAGAGGGAGCCTGGGCAGTGGGGGTCAATGAGTTTCCCAGAGGTTGGTGGCTGGGATTACAGGTTGCACTCACTGAAATGCACTGGAGGGAACTGGGAAGTCCCTTCATTTCGGTGCAGCCCCATCTCTGCAGAGCGCTTCCTCTGCCAGGCCCCTGCTTTGGGCTGTGACCTATGATGAACCCTGAGGAGAGGATGGCAAACACGGAGACCCTGGCTGGGCGCCTGTAACGGGAGCTGCAGCGTCACCCGCTGTGTGGCTGCTGCCTGGGCACACCCCACCTCCTGTCCTCACAGCACAGCGGGCTGAGACAGGGCAGTTATTTTTAATCGGCGTTTATTTTTAAGGATTAAATGCTCCGGGCAGGGAGTGGGGCTGTAGGACTCCCAGAGCCTGGGTGCAGCAGTTCCTCAGGGCTCCTTTACCTTCTCTCTTTTATCACTGTTGTTGATTTTTCCAGCGCTTGGACGGCTCGATCAAAGGGGAGATCCGAAAGCAGGCGCTGGACCACTTCAACGCTGACGGCTCAGAGGTACCTCAGGAAGGTCCGGGTGGGCTGCCCGAGCAGCGGGCGTTTATGGCTGAGCCGCAGGTTGTGACTGCCACAAGGGGATTAGTTCAGTTCATTTCTTTTTACAGAACCCCTGATATGTTTTAAAGACACAGATATAGCAGGGTTTGCAACTAGCTGTATTGTTTATTTTAAATCTTCAATATACAAAGAATGAGCCTGCACATCACATCTCCAGAAAGTCCTGCAGGAACTCTCTCCCCATGGTGTGGGGAATGAGGCGGTTGCTAAATGATTCCTCCAGTCTGAAGCTGATTTTGGATGTGAAATGGCAGGGGCGAGAGGGGGATTTTAAGTGTTGGCAGGCAGTGGAGTCTGGTGGTGGAGGTGAAAGTCTCTGGTGTAATAGGAGAGGGCATCTCAAGCCTCTCTGGGCTTGCTGACTCACAGTGACTGGTGCGAGCACTTGTTTTGTGCCACAGTCAGCCCAGCCGTGAGAAGTATCTGTCCTGGGCTGGAGAAGGATCTTTGGCTGACACAGGAGATGCAGTTAAGATGCTTCATGGCAGTGGGAAAGATCACAAATGTGAGAAGGCAACAGCAGTTGGGTGGGAGAGGAGCAGGATTGCCCATAGGAGCGGCCCTTTCTCCTCTGCTGGGGGCATCTCTGGGGGCTCAGACATCCTGGCTCTAACCTGGCACCCCGTGCCCTTGGGCAGGGACCCAAATATTCTGTTGGGTGCTGATCTCAGCCCCAGCTGGCTTCAGGCGACAAAAGGCACGTGTTTGCCAGCAGCCTTTGTGGGAGTCTGGTGGGCAGCGTAGCCTGACCTTCAGGAGTGACTCCAAGATGCCCTTGCTCTGAGCTCTTGGCATTGCTGTCCCATAACAATGCATGCTGGCCTTTTTTGTGGGCAGCACACCTTTCACCCCTGCCAGCACTGCCTCACCTTGTGCCTCTGCTTAAAAACCAGTGGCACTTAACCTGCATGAGTGGGGTGTGTGGGAAGGAAATCCTTTTTCTCGTTTCTTAAGAGCACAACAGAGCCCTCCCTCCTTTGCCTTACGTAGTGTTGAAGTCACCACTGCTGCTTTATGCCTCCCAGTTACAGGCTAACTGATGGATACTCTTTTCTTTCTCCCAGGACTTCTGTTTTCTGTTGTCCACACGAGCTGGAGGGCTGGGAATTAATTTGGCCTCTGCAGATACTGTTGTTATCTTTGACTCGGACTGGAACCCCCAAAATGATCTGCAGGCTCAGGCTCGGGCTCACCGGATTGGACAAAAGAAGCAGGTCAGAAGAGTTACCTGGGTCCTTTTCTCCATGGCATCAGTGTGTGCATCTAAATGGGCTCCCACCTCACCAGAGCTGAAAACATGGTCCTTTTGCCCCAGTCCTGACCCCAGAGGGTACTGCCAACCCAAGGGAAGCTCATTTAAAAGCCAGGAAACAAAAAATCAGCCAAACTTTGCCACATATTGGGTCTTTCTGTTGGCTTTGGTTCCTGGCATGGTTCAAAACCAAGAAGCCAACCCGTGGCATCACACTTCTCAGCCTAGGGGACGGGACTCTCTCCTGCCCTGAAGAACTTGGAAAGTAGAGCATCTGCCTTTACTGGGGTTTTATTAGGTATGTAAAACTTTGATGCTAGTTTGGATTCAGAGGGATTGTTTCAGAACATTTTTGCTCCGTGCTTTGTCACACTGAAGGATCTGTGTTACCCAGCCTGATTTTAGCTGTTCCCCTGAGGTATAAAAAGTATGTGATGGTTTTTACTCTAAAAATACACATCTGTGCATGCAGGGACCATGTCAGCAGACTGCAAAACCACTGAGGGATGCATCGCTGTGTCAGCAGAGCGTGTTCAGGCCCAGGAAATAGCTCTGTTCTTTTCTTGCCCTTCAGGTGAATATTTACCGCCTGGTCACCAAGGGTACGGTGGAGGAAGAGATCATTGAGAGGGCCAAGAAGAAGATGGTGCTGGACCATTTGGTCATCCAGCGTATGGACACCACTGGCCGGACTGTTCTGGACAACAACTCCGGGCGATCCAAGTAAGTGACTGCCAGGAGGCAGAGATGCCTGGTACAGCGTGTGGCGTAACCAGCTCCACCTGCTGCCATCTCGCAATATCTGTTTGATAAGGTACAGGGCAGAAGGCTGATAAATAACGGGAGAATTCACTGATTTGGTGCATGCAGCCGTTAATTTGGACATAGAGGATAAAAATGATCAGAAATAAAAAACTAATTATAATATATTACCTGTTTTTCCTTCTGCATTCCTCCCAGAGGTTATCCTGGTCTGAGGAAACCTGGTTGTGGAAGAGCTGCAATTTGGCAGTGGCATCAGACTCTCCCCATTTTCTCCCCCCAGCAGATGGAGGTTGTTCCCTTTACAGCACTTGTCTGTGCTAGAGCAGGAAAGAGAAGAGGGACTGAATAAAAAGGCTTTTTATAGTGCAGGGTAGAAAACCTACTTCTTGCTTTAATTAGGAAGAACTTTGGTATGGTTTTGTGCTGTAGCAGTGCTGACTTACCAGCTCAAAACACGTTTTCCTTCTCATTTTTTCTTGCAGCTCTAATCCTTTCAACAAAGAGGAGCTGACAGCTATTCTGAAGTTTGGAGCTGAAGATCTCTTCAAGGAGCTTGAAGGGGAAGAGTCAGAGCCTCAGGTAGACTGAAATGGAAATCACATACCTGTCTGTAGTCCTCTGCAGCTCTGCATGGGTGTTTGTGTGTGTTTGCTCCCTCTTTGTATTTGCCCTGTGTGTGAGGGCAGGCCAGTGAATAGGGCATGTGTGAGTCTAGAGAAGCTGAAGGAAGAGAGCTCTGGGGTTGGGGGGATCAGGGGGTTCAGGAGAGCCTTGTTGTCAGGGGTTAAATAGCAATGGCCACCAAGAAAGTCCCTTGGGTCCCAAGGATTCATTAGCTACTTATAGCGCAGCCTGCTGCAAGCTCCTCTCCTCTGAGCGCTTCTTCAGCATCCTTTTTTGGTTGTTCTCAGAGAGGCAGGAGTCAGCACAGTAATCTGAATAGGTCGCTCTCTCCTGCCTCAGCACAGTGGTGCTTGACAGTTTCTATCGAGTGCTTTGGCCGTTCCTCTTAATGCCCCAAGCAGCAGAGCTTTCCCTGAGGGAAGCAGTCCACAGGTAATACTCTCACTGGAAACTTCCCTGCTGCTCAGCCCTGATCTTCCTTCTGTCCTATCACCCTTATTGTACACTCTTTTGTATCACTTGAGGTAGCTCATCCCTGCTCTCGGTGATGACACCCTACAGATACTTGCACTTTATTTAGCTCGTATCAGCACAGTGCGTGTTTAGCTGTTGCACCTCATGCGTCTGTTCTAAAAGCCTCTAATTTCCTGCTGTGCTTGGCACCCTCCCCATTATCACTCTTCCTTTCTGACTTGTAGGAGAGGGACATTGATGCGATTTTGCGTCTGGCTGAAACACGAGAGAATGAAGTGTCCACCAGTGCCACCGACGAGCTCTTCTCCCAGTTCAAGGTATGGACCCCCTGGCTCTGTGGTGGGGTGTGGGAACGTGGCTCCGCACACCTTGTACAAAGCAGTTTGCTGAGGGGTTGTCTGATTTTGGAGCTGTAGGTATTAAATTTAGTTTCATGTAAATGGTTTTGAAGGCTGTGATTAAATGCAGAATTTACCAAATTTGGAAACAAACCCAATAACTCACAGAGCCTCAGCAGTACTACTTGAACTGCACGTACTTCCTCAAAAGCTGTTAGCCCGAAGACGTGGCAAGGAACCAGGAATGTGGTGACTTAGGGATCAATTATAAAGTAGTTATGGAAATGTTGGCAAAATTCCTATGGGGAAGGAGTTGAGGCTTAGCAGACAGCTGTGGGGTGTTCCTGCCAGGAGAGGGCATTTCTAAAAGTGTTCCTTTGCTTGTAAAAGGTGGCCAACTTTGCAACCATGGAGGAGGAAGAGACAGAGCTGGACGAGCGGTCCCAGAAGGACTGGGACGATATCATTCCAGAGGAGCAGAGGAAAAAGGTGGAGGAGGAAGAAAGGCAGAAGGAATTGGAGGAAATCTACATGCTGCCTCGAATCCGGAGCTCGACTAAAAAGGTACAGCCCATCTCGAGGAGCTGGCAATGGCAACACTCAAAGGAAGCCTTTGTGCCAACCGAATGCTGCTTTGGAGGAGGAGAAGTTGGTTAGGAGTAAAGCACAGAGGTAGCACATTGACCCCTTGTCGGCATCATGCACTGGGCCCATGGTTTGTAATGCAGTGTGAGGGCCCACATTGGATTTGGTACAACTC